GAATGCCTCTAGGGTAGATAGTAGTTCAATTAAAACATATCTCTGTAAATCTTTGTCATTGGATTTTAACACCTCATTTTGCAATTGATCCGATTGAATCTAGTCTCATTTTTCATTTTCTCTAGTTTTTTTTTTTTTTTAGAGATTGTTGCTATAGGGCGTGAGCGCTCACCAGAAAGAAAATGAGAAATCACCCCCCAGGGGGGATGGCCACGCCGCAATCCCTTCTCCATTCTCCTCTCGGGATCTTGGGCACGTACACACATGCGCCTGGCGTGAGTTTAAGCCACTGGGTCCAGGACTCGAACCATGGTTGGCTACATGGGAGTTCAGTGACATAGCCATTATGCTAACTGCTGGTCCCAATTTTTCCTAGTTTTTAAAAGTTGTTTTGTTTTTACATTTATAGGATTATTTCCTTAACCTCAATATCAATAAGTGCCTTTTAAGAAATATCTGAACGGTGGTGTTTTCGGTTTTCGCTCTTAATTCAGTCAAATAAAGCTTTCACGTATGTGTTAGCCCCGGCTTTTTCTGGCTGTCCATGGCAGTGCTGCTTTTCCATGTTGCTGGTGCTTCCATCGGGAGCCCCGGCGTCCGCGTGAACATCTGACGGGCGTCTCGGCTGCTCACAGCTCGCCCTGACCATCTTTACGCCGTTGCCTTTCCATTTGGCTTAGGGAGAGCTTCAAAAGCCCCTCTTCTCACACGACAGATGCAATTGGGCGCATTTCCAAGCCTGTGCTACTGCTTCTGAGGCCATTTTACACTCCTCACTTCTGATCCTTCCAGATCTTTTTCCATCTCAATCTTATTTCATTATAAAACAACAAAGCCTCTGCTTTTCTTGATTATTGTGAGCTCAGACGTTACTCTGTGTAAAATACCCTTCAATATTCCACGGTAAATACCCTTCAAAGGTTTGTTATTTCTGCACCTCTTGAAAGGCTTTCAGATTTCCATCTTTTGCAGCTTTTATTGATAGGTCCTCTTCTGCTTTGCCTCTCTGCCTGCTTCATTTAGAGAGCTTTTTCCCGCCTTTTGTTCTAGGGCACATGCACTCAGTGGAGAGAGAGCAGGTGAGACATCGATTCCCAGGGGAATGGCCACCTACAGTCCCTGTAGTCTCTTCCTGGGATTTGGGCATGCACACAACTGTTGTGGTTTTCAGGCCATGCGGTGTAGGACTCCAACTGTGCAGTGAGCCGTGTGGGGCCCAGTCACCCTATTCTCTGTGCCGTCCGCGGACCCCACCACCCAGATACCCTTACGGAAGGGGAGGTCTCGCTTGCACTGGAGTTCCAGCCTACACAGCACACAGTGGGATCTCCTGGGCCCATGCAGCTGTCACCCGTTAGAGCAACACACCAGAGGTCATGGGAGAGCATGTGACATAACCCGCAGTGTCACTGTGCTGTGACCCAGCTGCCCAGGAGGGTGAGGGTGCTCTGGGCTGTTGACCCACCGCTGCAGTCTGCTGTGAGTCTGGGGCGCCTGCCGCCCTGTGCTCTTAGTGTCCGGTTTGGCTGGATGCAGTCCAGGAGCCTAGGGCAGGTTGCCGGCCTTGCCCCATGCTGCCGCCTCTGTTAGGGACAGACGTCGGCCATATCCTGGCTTGTCGGGCTCTCTGTGACAGGTGACCACGCTGCCCCGGGGTTTCACGATGCAGCTGACTGCAAAGTTCACTGCTCTTGGCATTAGGAAGATTTGCCATGCGAGGGAACATCCCTGTGGCCCGTGGCCCGTGGCCCATGGCCCGTGGCCTGCTCCTGCCAGTAGCATACATGCAGGTTTTTTAAACCTATTACCACATCCTCTTTCCACTCTTGGGTCCACTTGGAGGGAAAAATTGTTCTCAAAATTGGTCTCAAATTGCATGTTCTTCATATTTCTTAAGAGTATTATTTAGGGAAACATTTTCCGAAATGTTGAAAATTAATATAAAATTTCTCTGAGGTGACTGAGTTGCTTAAAGATGTGAGCATGACACTTTTCTTTAAATCCGTGTTTGCAGCCATGGCCCCAAAGTGCAATGCAATTTTTTCCGTGATGGCTTGTTAATGGGGAGCCCCTGTGCCTTGCTTCTCTGTTGCTTGACACTTTGCTCATTTTTATGCATGATAAAAATAGTGTTGTGGGGTTCTAATAGCCACCCCCGTGGGGACAGCAGACAATGAGTTTTTCTCCATTCGTTCTGCCCATCGTAGAACGCTATCGGGATTGTTTTCATCGTAGTATTTTTAAAAGGAGATGAGGCTACTTTTAGGTCAACGTGGAGCAGTTTTAGGCAGTGAACACCGGGATCAGATCCCAGGCCACGAGAAGAATGCCCCTGGAGGACCGACCGTGGCCTATGGCCCGTGGCCTGGGACCTGCTCCTGCCAGTAGCATACATGCAGGTTTTTTAAACCTATTACCACATCCTCTTTCCACTCTTGGGTCCACTTGGAGGGAAAAATTGTTCTCAAAATTGGTCTCAAATTGCATGTTCTTCATATTTCTTAAGAGTATTATTTAGGGAAACATTTTCCGAAATGTTGAAAATTAATATAAAATTTCTCTGAGGTGACTGAGTTGCTTAAAGATGTGAGCATGACACTTTTCTTTAAATCCGTGTTTGCAGCCATGGCCCCAAAGTGCAATGCAATTTTTTCCGTGATGGCTTGTTAATGGGGAGCCCCTGTGCCTTGCTTCTCTGTTGCTTGACACTTTGCTCATTTTTATGCATGATAAAAATAGTGTTGTGGGGTTCTAATAGCCACCCCCGTGGGGACAGCAGACAATGAGTTTTTCTCCATTCGTTCTGCCCATCGTAGAACGCTATCGGGATTGTTTTCATCGTAGTATTTTTAAAAGGAGATGAGGCTACTTTTAGGTCAACGTGGAGCAGTTTTAGGCAGTGAACACCGGGATCAGATCCCAGGCCACGAGAAGAATGCCCCTGGAGGACCGACCCTCGGAAGTTACTTCCCTGGGATGACACTCCGGCATCCGCTCCCTGCCTTCTCAGTGCCCTGAACAGGCGGGAGGCCACATCGTCGCTCCTGGAACGTGGGATTCGGGTACAATCCAGCTTTGTGTCCTCAGGGAGGCGAGGTCAGGTGATGAGCGGGGACGCCCGCAGGGCCGAGAGGTCTCACTTAGTGTGCGATGACCTGCAGTTCCATTGTCCAGCTCTGGCGGAGTCTAGGTGAGTGAGCTGGTGTGACAGCAGCTCCCGGCGATTGGGTAGGGCCAAGCTGCTCTGAGCCATCAGCGGACACTGGGATTGAAGCGGCTCCTTTAGGCCCCTCACGGCAAGGAGAGGCTCCTCTTCTCAGTCCATTTCGGGAGATCACATGGGGCCCTAAATGGGGTGACGGGGAGAGGATTCTGACCAGAGTGATGGCTGCGGGGAGGCGGCGATCAGTCCTGACATAAAGGCACCCCTGCCTTCGGCACAGCTGTCATCCCCGCTGCCTCCGCTGTAATCGTTAAGGCTTTCACTGCTGAGGGCCCGACCTTGCGGCTGCTCTCAAAGACGATGCGCCCGGTGGGCAGAAAGCCTCGTGTTCGCAGACCTCGATCCCGCGCAGGGCCTGGGGCGGAGACTGAAGAGGAAGCTCTGAGAGGGCAGTGCAGGGCCCGCGTGGAGAGCTTAGGGGGTCACGCCGTCCAGCGCAGCTGTGCAGAGACTTCCAGGATGCGGCCAGGAGGATGGTGCGTGGAGAGCTTAGGGGGTCACGCCGTCCAGCGCAGCTGTGCAGAGCCTTCCAGGATGCGGGGGGGGGGGGGGGG